TTTCTTCATTCTCCCTTGCTCCTGAAGAGGTGAGATCAGTAGAGTATCTTAGATGGCTGTTCATAGGCTTTTAAGACCTCAGACACTACTCACCAAGGTAGAATGTAGAACATTGTCTTTATAAACCGTGTTATGCCAATTGAGCTAGATGATCCTGAGACCATGGTCCCCACAGCCCTCCGCCCAGCAGTTCAGTACCTTAGGGAGTTTGGATGTGTCTTTGGAGCTTCCATGACCTTTCTTTGTACACGTTATGCTGGCTTCCCCTGTATTGTGTACTGTCTTACCCGTTGCCAAAGTTAACACTTATCTATTGTCTATTTAGTTTCTCCCCCTTCCCATCCCTTGTAACCAACAAAGATTGTTTCTTTTTGTGTGTAAACTTTTTCATGAGTTTTTACAGTAGAGGTCTCATACAATATTTGTCCTTTTGTGATTGACTTATTTCACTCAGCATAATATCCTCCAGTTTCATCCATGTTATGAGATGCTTCACAGATTCATCATTGTTCTTTATCGTTGTATAATACTCCACTGTGTGTATGTACCATAGTTTGTTTATCCATTCATCTGTTGATGGACATATAGCTTGTTTCCATACTACTATGGTATTTCTATTTATAGCTTTCTAAGGAAGCACCATATCATTTTCCAAAACGGTTGTATCATTTTGCATTCCCACCAGCAGTGCATAAGAGTTCCAATCTCCCTGCAGCCTCTCCAGCATTTGGTATTTCCAGGTTTTTTGATTGGTGACAATAATGCTGGAGTGAGATGGTATCTCACTGTGGTTTTAATTTGCGTTTCTCTAATGGCTAATGATTGGAAGCATTTCCTCATGTGTCAGCTGGCCGCTTGAATGTCTTCTTTGGTGAAGTGTCTGTTCATTTCCTTTGCCCATTTTTTAGTAGGATTATTTGTCTTTTTGTTGTAAATAAGTTGGATTTTCTTGTAGATTTTAGAGATTAGACCTTTGTCTGCCCTGTAATGTCCAAAATTGTTTTCCCAGTCTGTAGGTTCTCTTTTTACTCTTTTGGTGAAGTCTTTTGATGAGCATAAGTGTTTAATTTTTAGAAGATCCTAGTTATCTAGCTTATCTTCTAGAGTTTGTGTGTTGTTGGTTATGGTTTATATCCTGTTAATGCCATACATTAGGGCCTCTAGCATTGATCTTATTTTCTTCTATGAACTTTATAGTTTTTGACTTTATATTTAGGTCTTTGATCCATTTTTTAATTATTTTTTGTGTATGGTGTGAAGTATAGGTCCTGTTTCATTTTTTTGCAGATGGACATCCAGTTTTGCCAGCACCGTTTGTTAAAAAGACTGTATTCTCCCCATTTGATGGACTTTGAGCCCTTGTCAAAGATCAGGTGACCATAAGTGGATAGATTTACACCTGGGTTCTCAATTCTGTTCCATTGGTCAATGTTTCTGTCGTCGTACCAGTACCAGGCTGTTTTGACTACTGTAGCTGTATAGTAAGTTCTGAGGTCAGGTAGTGTGAGTCTTCTTACTTTTTTCTTCTTCTTAAATAGTGCTTTACTTATCTGGGGCTTCTTCCCTTTCCAGATAATGATTAGTTTTTCCATCTCTTTAAAGAATGTTGTTGGTATTTGGATTGGGATTGCATTGTATTTGTAAATTGCTTTGGGTACAACTGTCATTTTCACAATGTTGAGTCTACCTATCCATCAGTAGTATGTTTTTCCATTTATGTAGATCCCTTTGGGTTTCTTGCAGTAGTGTTTTGTAGTTTTCTTTGTATGGGTCTTTTACATCTCTGGTTAGATTTATTCCTAAGTATTTTATTTTTTTAGGGGCTATTATAAATTGTATTGTTTTCCTAATTTCCTTTTCATTGGTCTCTTTATTGTTGTATAAGAATCCAACTGATTTTTGTATGTTTATCTTGTATGCTGCTACTCTGCCGAATCTTCCTATTAGTTCCAGTAGTTTTCTCATGGAGTCTTTAGGGTTTTCTGTCTATAGTATCATATCATCCACAAACAGGGAGAGTTTAACTTCTTCATTACCAGTTTGGATGTCCTTTATTTCTTTTTCTTGCCTTATTGCTCTAACTAGGACTTTTAGCACAATATTAAATAGGAGTGGAGATAAAGGGCATCCTTGTCTTGTTCCTGTTCTCAAGGGGAATGTTTTCAGCCTAGGAGAGTGACTTCTTGAATTGACCTGCTGTGTTATCTTTGTTAAATTATGTAATTTTTTCATATTTCAGTTTTCTTACCTGAGAAGTTGTTGTTGTTAGGTGATGTCGAGTAGGTTCCAACTTATAATGACCCTATACAACAGAATGAAATACTGCCTGGTCCTGTGCCATCCTCACAATCATCACTATGTTTGAGCCCATTGTTGTAGCCACTGTGTCAATCCATATCTCCTTGAAGGTCTTCCTCTTTTTCTCTGACCCTCTACCAAGCATGATGTCCTTCTCAAGGACTGGTACTTCCTGATAACATATCCAAAGTATGTAAGACACAGTCCCTCCATCCTTGCTTCTAAGGAGCGTTCTGGCTGTACTTTTTCCAAAACAGATTTGTTCTTTCTTCTGGCAGTCCATAGTAATAGAAATAATAAAAATACATAAGTGCTATTAGACTAAATGAATAAGCCATGTAATGAATTTAGGAAAACGTCTGTCATTGAATCGTGTGAACAATTACCATTATTGTTTCTATTGAATTAGTAAATGATTGAGAGTGTATGTCGTAACTGGAAGTATACATATCATCAGTATATTAGAGTAACACATACTTGGAAAGTGAAGAGTAAGAGAAACTATTCTTAAATTAACCTAGGTGGACTTTCTTGACATTTTGAGGCTTCAGGACAATCTGACTTGTGGAAATTGGATTTAAAAGCTGGGTGCAGACATTGTATCATTGTGGAAAGAAAGAAAGAGGATAAAATAAGGTCAAGTTGAATTTAAAAAAGATGTGTCTAAAAGGAGTAGAGTATCTGTTAACCCAGAACTAAAACCATTCCCGAAGCCAACTCTTTAGACAAAGATTAGACTGGACTATAAAACATATAATAGTACTCGTGAAGAGTGTGCTACTCAGTTCAAGTAGATACACAAAACTAAATGGGCAGCTCCTGTCCAGAGGTGGGATGAGAAGACAGAAAGGAATAGGAGCTGGTTGAATGGACACGGGAAACCAGAAGTGGAAAGGGGGAGTGTGCTGTCACAGTATAGGGATTGCAACTAGGGTCACATAACAATATGTGTATAAATTTTTATATGAGAGATTAACTTGAGCTGTAAACTTTCACCTAAAGCACAATAAAAATAAATAAATAAAAGAAGTAGAGTAGACAGATGAGGGAGGACACAGGAAGAAATTCAGACTGACGGAGATGAAGGTATTCTTCTGGATGACTTGAAACTGGACTCGCACCGGAAACGGTCACCTCAAGCTCTTGAAACAACAGTAGGGGAAAGGTGAATTCCTGTTTTTTGCTATACATTTTATAGTGCGGATGTTGAAGCATAAATTCTGAATTCTGTGATCTTGGGCTGGTCACTTAAACTCTATTAGGCCAGTTTTCTCTTCTATGAAATGCAATTGTTAACCCTATTTCACTAGGTTGTTGTAAAGTTTAAAAGCAATTTAACATGTGAAAGTAATTATTTAGCACCTAAAAGATATACAAACTATTCTTTGAACCATGATCACATTCCTTTTCTCCTTCCCCCAAAAGGACATTCCCAGCTAATGACAAGAAGCACAATTAGATGTACTTCCTGATAGTGCACCTATTGGGATGGGGCAATCCTCAGAGAGAGAAGATGTTTTGATGGAAGCAGGTATGATTCATTGCCTGGAGGAGGGGGTGTGGGAGCAGGTTTCTTACTATCTTTTGGGAACATAGCTCTTTGATCAGAAAGGAGTTCCTGAGATGGTTCTCCAGTCCTTTGTGCTGCTCATAGGCCTGCAAGGCAGCCGTCTATTGGGTGTCTACCAAGATGCAGGGCTTGACCTCACTGTCTGAGCCCCATCAGGTGAGTGGAGAAGAGTCCCTTGCCTAAACTCCCATGTCATGGTTCACAGCGGCTGTTTTGGAGGCAGCAAATCCTGATGACTGAGTGATACTCAGTGCCCAACCTGCTCTGTGTTCTGATTCTCCCTAAGTGCTTGCCATAGATTAACATGTAAAAGGAGCCTACCCTCCTCTGCCCAAGCAGTTTTGAAAGGATAAAGGGGATTACGAGATGGGGAGAGGTTGTATAAACAGAAGATATTATTATTGAGTAAGATGATTCTTATTCTGCATCCTGATAGTGTCTCACAGTGTCTGAGGACAGTTGTATGGGGGAAATATGTTAGATCAGCATAAAAGAAATTTGTTCCCTAGTCCTAGCTCTGTGTGACTTAGGGCATGTCACTTCATCTTTCTTGGCCTCTGCTGCCTGATCTATAAAATAATATCCATCGAGCCCTTCCATTCCAGGTTCTTACAGGAAATATGTATGTGGCATTGTGTGTACGATGAACATATGTGTGGTGTATGTATCTCCATCTGGTATCTAAATTTATATTCATTTGTAATATGTGTGCATGCCTGATATATTTCTGGATATGTTCATTAATGGTAAATGTGCAAGATATGGTTTTGAATGTGTGAAATGTGCATATTTATGTGGGAATGCTTTGTATGTCATATGTACATCTGCATGTGTCTACATATATGTGATCATGTATGTGTTTGTGTGAAAATGGTGCATAAGAATATTTGTAATGATTGCACATTTCTGCATGTGTGTATGCACATCTATGCATGTGAGAATGGATCTGTATATAGGTGTGTCTAGTGTAACAAATACCTCACATTTGGTTGCAATATAAATCACAGCTTCCTTTTCAAGTTACAACAGGCACAGAGAAAAAAGAATCCATTTCATCCTGCCTTCTAAAGAAGCAAAGCATCTACCAACAAGGTGGAAGGAATTGACAAATCCATCAGGGGTATCACTCAGAATGGGGCAGACTAATGTAACCTCCTGGAGGGGATTTGTCTTTTTGGGCTTCTCCAGCTTTGGGGAGCTGCAACTCCTGCTGTTTGTCGTTTTCCTCTCTCTGTATCTCATCACTCTGACCAGCAATGTCTTCATTATCATAGTCATTAGGTGGACAGCTATCTGCACACCCCCATGTACCTCTTCCTTTCTTACCTATCTTTCTCTGAGACCTGCTGCACCTTGGGCATCATTCCTAGGATACTCTCTGGCCTGGCCGTGGGTGACCAGGCCATCTCCTATGTGGGCTCACTGCCCAGATGTTCTTCTCTGCCTCGTGGACTTGCACCAACTGCTTCTTTCTGGCTGTCATGGGCTTTGACAGATATGTGGCCATCTGTGCTCCACTGCACTATGCCAGCCGCATGCATCCTACCCTCTGTGCCCAGCTGGTTAGTACCTCCTTCCTGAGTGGGTACTTCTTTGGGCTGGAGATGACACTGGTCATTTTCTGCCTCTCATTCTGCAGCTCCCATGAGATCGAGCACTTTTTTTGTGATACACCCCCAGTGCTGAGCCTGGCCTGCAGAGATACAGGCCTGAGTGAGTTGGGAATCCTCATCCTCAGCCTGCTGGTCCTCCTGGTCTCCTTCTCCCTCATCACCATCTCCTATGCCTACATCCTGGTAGCCATTCTGAAGATCTCTTCTGCTGAGGGGCGGAAGAAGGCCTTCTCCACCCATGCCTCCCACCTCACAGTGGTCATTGTTCACTATGACTGTGCCTCTTTCATGTCTTTGAGGCCCAAAGCCAGCTACTCTCTTGAGCGGGATCAGCTTATTGCTGTCACCTATACTGTGGTGACCCCTCTCCTCAATCCCATTGTTTATAGTTTAAGAAATTGGGCTGTGAAGGGAGCTCTGACAAATGCTTTCCAAGGAAGATTACTGGGTAAAGGATGAGGGGGAGCTCAATGAGACTGTCTCCTCTGAGCAGGCTGGGCATAAGATGGAAACCCCACCCAGTGGGCCAGATATTTAGGGCCTTAGGCCAAAGCTGTCCCACCTCAAAGCCCCTGGAAGAGCTCCATCCTGCCTCCTGAATTTCCCCCAGGGGTGCTTAGGCTTTCTGCTCTGCTTACTGAGCTCAGCTCACACTGAACTCAAGATGGGAATTCTCACTTTCAGTGTCAGGTGCTACACTGCTTAGAAATCCAGTTCACTGAGATATTTTCAAACCGATTAGGACAAAATGAGGGAAGTTTGGAATGATCAAATTCAGGCAGGGCTGACGGGCCCTATCAGGAATACTATAGACATTTCTAAAGTAATTTCAAAATTAGATTTACATGAACTCTAAGGTTCTTCCAAGATCTGAAAGTTGGTGAATATCAGTTTGACAGGTCAGTTTGAATGCCTTGCTCAATTAAAAAGTAGGATATTCTCTCTCTCTCTCCCACCAGGTATCTTTTTATGTAGTGTTCTCTCTCCTGTCTGCCTCTGGCTCATTATTACTTTACTCTCTTCCTTTTAATTAATTCTCCTAGTTGGGTAGATTCTATTTCAGGAAATTTATTTATTTCCTAGTTTCCTCCATATATGGTTTTGTTTTCTGGTGGCCACATAATCTTGGTGTCAAAGATCCTCCTCACTTGGGTCACTTTCCAACATAGATACTGTCCTCTTAAATCTGTGGCAGGACTATCTATCCTGCTTATTTCCCTCTCTGCTTAGAACGCAGCCTGCACAGTGCCAGACATTCTTAGGAAAATGAAAGTGTAGTTAACTCACACAGCATCAGGCAGGAGCTTGAATCTGGACTCTGCTCTAGAACTTACTAAATGTATGATCCTGGTAAGTTCCTTAACCTTTCTCTGCTTCAATTCTTCATGTATAAAATGGTTATAGCTTCACAGTTTTGTGTTGCTGACTAAACAAGAGCATTCATTAAAGAACTTTGTACAATAACAGGATTATAGTAAACTTTCAATAAATATTAGCTGCAAATATTAGTTAGATTGGGTCAAGACTCCTTTGTTGGGGACAGGCAGTGGTCTGAACACTTTGCTTTAGACTTGGTCCTTTTGGAAGTGGGAGATAGGACACAGAAAACCTTTGAGCAGAGAATAGAGTGGCATCTCAGAAATGATTTAGTAAAATTGAACAAGCAGCAGAGAGGATGATGAGTTTCAGCAGAAAGACACCAGAGGCTAGGAGATCAGTGAGAAATCCATTCTTGCCATCCAAAAGAAAAACAAAGCAGACCTAAACTGGGATAGTACTGATAGAAACTGAAGAAAATGATACATATAAGAGATTTTGTAAAAGTAGGATCCACATGATTTATCAATGAATTAGAAGTAGGTCATGACTTGAGAGAGAGGGAGGAATTTACGTCAAAAGGATTTTTTTTTTAGAAAAAAATTCATATTTTTCCATACTCTCAGGAAACACTTTCTCCACAGAAACTTGTACACCAATGTTCATTGCAACCTTTTCCTCAATAGATGAAAAGTGGAAACAAATGAAATGTTCATTAACAGATAAATGGATAAACAAAATGTGATTTACAAATACAATGGAATATTATTCAGCCATAAAGAGAAATGAAGTCCTGATGAAGGCCACAACATGGATGAACCTTTAAAACACTATGTTGAGTGAAATAAGTCAGTTACAAAAGGACAAATACTATATGATCTCACATATATGAAATAAGCAAATATGTATATAGAAACCAAAGATTATCAGTGGTTACTTCAGGTGGGAGAGAGGAAGAAAGGGTAAGTTTTTACTTAAGGAGCATTGAGTTTATGTTAATGTGAGGAATAATATGGAAAAGGATAGTGATAATGGTTGCACAACATGAAGAATGTAATCAATGTCACTGAATTATACATGTAGAAATTACTGAATTGATGAATGTTCTGTTGTGTATATTTTCACTACAATAAAAAGAAGGAATATTATTTAAAAAAAAAAATGGTCTCTATTTGCCTGGAGCAACAGAGGAAGAAGGAGAATCAGGAATAGGAGAAGAAAATGATTGTGTGGCTAATTGCTTCCATGAACAATTGCCTCCTTTGCCATGAGACCAGAAGAACTGGATGGTGCCTGGCTACCATTACTGAACATTTTGATCAAAGATTTTGTAGAAGAATACTGGTCAAAAGGGGGAAAATGCATAACAGAATTTCAAATTTTCATGGAATCCAGATTTTCTGGAGCCATGGAGGCTGAATGAACCCCTGAAATTATTGCCCTGAGATAATCTTTAAACTTTAAGCCAAAAATATCCTCTGAAGTCTTCTTAAAACCAAACAATAGTTTAGCTTAACTAGTAAAGAATGTCTGTCTGCCTTGAGCATTGTGCTGTTTTAAGATCTATCTATATGGGATCAAACTGAAAATGTCGGCTCTAAAGATTAGATAGGAAATTTAGGGGGCAGTGAGTTTATGTTAATAAGGGAGGAGCAACTCAGAAAAGGAGGGTGAGAATGGTTTCACAACTCAAAAAAATGTAATCAACGTCACTAAATTGTACATGTAGAAATTGTTGAATTGGTGTATGTTCTGCTGTGTATATTCTCAACAACAACAACAAAAATAAAATAAATTATAAAAAAAGAAATACTTTATTATATAATCAGGAAAAAACAAAATGATAAAAATATGTAGAACTTAACAAATAGCAAAATAAAGACTTGGCACTCCTCAGCAATGACTAATTATATACTAAATAAGCCCAGAGCCTCCTCTCCTCCAACTCTTTGAACCCCTTATGTCTCCCAAGCTTGAAATTTTTTAGGTCCTGCAATAAATGTAATGAGCACACACACACGCACGTGCATGCACACACACACACCAACACTACCATCTTCCCTCCCTCTACACTTACTTGTCCCCTTCATCCCCAATACTTTCCACCACACCGATATTTTCTATGATCCATGAGGAACTGTTTATCAGTTGCCAAAGTGGGAACGGGTGAAGTCAGCATAGTCATAGCCAGCACGGTGGCTTCGACCCTGTGGGTCCACATATTGCTGCATACGTGAGGTACAGAATGACACTTGTTCTGGAGTTAGGGCCTGAAAAGCATAGAAAGAGAGAGATACATACTGTAGTTATAGGGATTCAAACAAAGCCGGTTCCTTGGGCTTGCCCAAATGCCCTAAATTCAGGGGTTGGAGAGGCTTTAGAAGGAAAAACCAGCCCTATTCCTATCACACACTTCTCTCATAAGTTTATGGTTTCTAATGAAGAAGACCAAATCAGTTCTTCAACTCAGCTCTCCCAAAGGTCCAATCGGACTTCGACCACACTATTTATTCCATTCCCTAAATTTGACTTATTAAATAAGAAAACATAAGAAATAGCCTTAAAAACTGAGTTGAAGACTTTGGATTAAGTCCAATAGTCAATAGACAACCACTGTAGGTTTTAAAGCTGGGTCAAGACAAATGAAGCGGAGATCAAAGAAAATGATATCTTGTAGAAGAGGAGGTCTGAGGAAAAAAATGGGGGTCTACAGCAGACATCCATGCCTGAGATGACCAAAACCCAGATTGTGATGAGAGCATGTGATGAGAGTGGAAGCAACCAAAATCTGACCTCCTTCATGTTCTCCTTGGTAATATAATCCTTTCCCTCTGCCAGGGCACGGAAGGCACTCTCTATTTCATCACTGGACCTGATGTTCTCTGACTCCTTGTCGATCAGGAATGAAGTGTAGTCCTCCAATGAGACATAGCCCTTCCTGTGGGAGAAATGGATCAGGAGTTCTGTCCTCTCAAGATTCAGAGAGGAGAGCAGACCCTTTTCTTCATCCTGCTCAGTGTCTCAGAGACAGAGGAAACCAGATTCTCCAAGTGCCTCTTCCAACTAAGCACTCTTTCAACTGAGCGATAGTCTATGTTCTTCATTTTGACCCCGCTCTTCTCTCGTCTTATAGTGAAATAAATGCTGTTTGCTTCTTAAGTTCCAGGCTCTGTTTCCACATGGGCCAGTCAGCCTGCCTCTTTTCATAGAACTTTGGAATTTCCCTTCAGTATTTTAAATAATTTCTGGTCTTCTCTGGTATTAGAAAGTATCGGTCCCTAACAGTAACTTGAATCCTCTATGTCCCGAACTCACCCTGACAAACACATACCAACCCCTACCCCCACATTTTGGCCTCTTAATCATCCATGTTTCTTAGGGCCTCAAATATATGAAGGAATTCTTCTTTCAATTTCCCTCCTCAGAACCAGCTGAAATTCATAGATCAAACACAAATCATAAATTGAACAAATTGCAGAACTGATGCCTGAGTTGGAGTTAGGACCATTGACTTCTAAGCTAATTTTGAAAGGGCACCAAGGACTTCCCATGTCATTTATAATAGTCTGTATGAGTTGGAATTGACTTGACAGCAATGGGTTTGTGTGTGTGTGTGTGTGTGTGTGTGTGTGTGTGTATTCTTATTATAAATGAGTTCGTTTCATAATATTTGGATCATTTTTTAGCATCTGTGCTTGTCTCTCCAAGCCCCAGTGGCTGCCATGGTCTGGCCCTTGGTCACCTTCCTACCTCCCTGGATCAACATCCTCCAGAAACTTCTTAAACATGGGCTCAGGTTCATCCTCCTCCACCATAGGCAAGTAGTAATTGAGTCCTCTTAGGCAGGACCGGAACTCCTTGTAAGTCAAGCGCCCTGTGGAGTTTTCATCAACGTGTCTAAAGAAGAAAAACATTGCATCAATATCAATAGAGAACCAGATAATAACAGAAAGGAACCATTCTTGTTGGACCAGCTGGGGCTTTATTAACACTTTACAAGGTTGCCAGAGAACTGAACGGAGAGCCTGCCTGTGCCTCTACATGTTTCTAACATAATTGCTGGAGGAAGAAGCATAACACTTCGAACATGGAAGAATGCATTTTCTAAAATCCAGAAATCTTACAGACATATTAAAAGCCATGACTGAAGCTAATTAACATATCTGGATATTCATTCAAGGCCCTATTAGGTCTCACTGAGGAAGAAGAATATTACTTATTTGGAGATTCATTATGAAATGTCTGGAAAATACAGAACCAAACCTACTATGAAGTTATACTTACTTAAAGATTCTGCTAAACTCCTTTAGCCTCTCCTCACTCACACCTGTTGTGTCCCTGAAAGAAAAAAAAAAAACATAAATTATTTTCTATGAAATAAAATGTAAAAGATTAGCAGAAAATATGACATGTGAAAGAGAAAGGAATTTTAGTGGACGTTACGGAAGACTAGGGGTTGGCAGAATCTAGCCCACCATCTGTTTTTGTACAGCCCGTGAGCTAAGAATGGATTTTACATTTTTAAATGATTGAAAATAGTCACAAAGTAACATTTTGTAAAACATGAAAATTATATGAAATTCAAATTTTAGTATCCATAGATAAAGTTGTATTGGAACATGGTCGTGCTTATTCATTTACTTGTTATCTATGGCTGCTTTTGCAATAGTACATCAATCTCTTGCCAGCCCCTTGGCATTAAGTTCCTAGCACCTAATACCTAACCTCGACCTTCCCCAGCCCTCAGTACCTGGCTTGGATCTGTTGCTCCAGGTTGTGTTGCATCCGCATCCCAAGCTGGTAGAGCTGGTCCCACTGCTGGGCCAGTCCAATGGTGCTGTATTTCATGTCAAGGATCAGTGCCTCCTCCATTTTTTCACCCAGGTCCTCAATCTTGGTCAGCTGACGCTTCATGGCTTGGATCTCCTTCTGCTTCCTCTGGATAAGAGCAGAGGAAGGAGAGAGACAGTCACCCAGGGCACCAACTCCAAAATGAGGGATTAGAGGGGAAAAAAGAGACTGATGATTTGGAGTTTCCCCTAATTGCTTTGTTTCAATTATTTTCAGGGATCTTCCCATCTTCAGTGAAAATGAACTATTCAGTAAAACCCCTTCACCTCAGTAGTTCTCATTTATAAAACAGAGGTTAGATGAAATGACCTCTAAGATGGCTGGAATTTTGTAATTATATAAATTTAAGGCTTACAAACTGCAGATAAAAAAGAGTAGAATTTTCAGGATCCATGAGTCATCAGCTCCCAGTGATCTATATTGTGAATTACCTGCACTATTGATTATGGATGAACTCCCAGTCCCACTTAAGTGCCCAGTATTCATTCCTGGGCCTTGTGCATCAGACTGGGCAGATGTCCATGGCCTGCTCCCTGTCATCTGGGGATATTATATGCCAGATTTCTGTAGCCCATGTTTTCTCAATGGGGAATTATTGTCCCCAAGGAGAAGTGGTGAATTGGTTAGGGGAAGAGGGGGGTAAAAAATCTTAGATATTAAAATGTCTTATGGCCCTCCAAAGATCAATCTTATCTGACAAAATTTCATTCTTTTGTTTTAAATTTATCGTATATATGGGGGAAATTAAATTTAATTAATTAAATTTTTATCCTGGGGAGACAATCATAAAAATAAGGTTGAGAAACACTGTTTAACACATTGCTTCACACGATTCTCAAAAGATGTTCCAATATTCAACATATTAAATCATAACAGAAATTTGTCAGTGTTCCAGGTTGTAGGCTAGGAGCTTTTGCATCGGTTTCCTTATTGAATCCCTACTGCAACCCAACAATGTAAACACAGATTAAAGTTCAGAGATATAAGTAAACTGAAGTCCACATCCAAGAAGTGGTAGCTTATTGTTAGACAATTAACGGCAGAGTTGGGACCAGAGTCTTAAACTCTTGACTTTGAACCATAGAGTTCACCTAATATTATCAAGAGGGTTGTCTCTGAGTTATTTTTCTTGCATTCTTTGTAATTCTGGCAACATTTTCAGCTAATAAACAAACGTCACTTACTTTATTTGCTTCCAATTGGGCTTCCAGAGTTCCTGTTTCTTTGAGCAAAGATCTAGTTAACAACCAGAGGGAAACATTACTCATAATATCAGATGTCAATATTTCACACAGACATACCAACTCAAAGCCCCTATACTTCTCTGCTTCCACTTCTCCCAAGTTATAAGCTCATGTGAATTTTCATGGTCTCTGTTATGGATCATATTGTGTCCTACAAAAAGATATGTTGAAGTCCCAACCCCTGTACCTGCGAATGTGATTTTGTTTGAGAAATAGGGTCTTTCTTTGAAGATATGATCAGTTAAGCTATACTGGAATAAGATGGGTTCTATCCTAATCCCCTCTGAGGGGTGTCTTATAAAAGGGGAGAGCAGACTTGGAGAGACAGACATAGAGAACAGACACAGGAGGAAGACAGAGGCCATGCGATGATGGAAGCAGATGAATCTATAAGCAGCCCAAGAATGCCAAAGATTGCCTGCAGCCACTAGAAATTAGGAGAGAGGCATGGAGCAGTTCCTCTCTCAAAGTCTGCAGAAGGGACTGACATGGCCAATACCCCAATTTGGGCTTCTAGCCCCCAGAACTGTGAGAAAATAAATTTTTGTTCTCTAAAGCCACACACTTTGTGGTATGGTGTTATGGCATCCCTAAGTAATTAAAACAGTCCCAAACCCTTCTGTTTATTGGCAACATCATCAGATCGAAGAGAAGAGAATTAGGTCTGTCCTCTGTTCTCTGTTCTCTTGTTCACCTCCCTCCTAGTTCTTATCTTCAAACATACCCTGTATCTAATGTAGACAAGACTGCACCTTGTGGGGTGCAGGGCCAGAAAGATATATTCTGTGTTTCTCCTTCTCACCCTATATTTTTATCTAGACACTATCAGATTGTGATGGGATAAAGACATCTCAGTACAAAGTCCTCCCGAACAAATTCCTCCAGAATAAGACGTAGCAAAATGGACATGATAACATAAAATACTAACCCATCCAGAAAATAAGCCCTGGTCATGGAGGTCCAAAACAGGAATCAGAAGAGAGAAAAAGAAAATCATCTGTTAGCATGAATTACTTCAGTGATCTTATTTCCTCAGATTTATGAGACATTCTTAATCCTTTTTAGTCACACAGTATGAACCTGTCCCATCAACTGTTCCCAAAGCATTTCTCACTTGGAGAAGCTCAGAGCCTTCTGTGAAGCTCCTTGCTTCAGGACAAAGAGCACAGGGGTCACTTTAGGATATGTCCGTGCTGGGACCACACTGCAGGGGATCCTATGATAGAGGGACAAAAAGCAGAGGCAAAGAAGAATGAGCTGTGCTTCCTCTGCCTTCTGTCATATTTTCTTTAGCTATGACACCAGATTTCCTTTTATTCATGGTCTGATTTACCCTTGTCAGTAGGTATTTAGGAATAGTGAATATCATGGATTGTCTAAATCACCACTTTAACCCTCAAAACTCCACAAGTCTGACCCCCCTACTGGATACAGTACCCCAATTCTGTCCATTTATTCTAATGCATTACACCTGCTAAGTCTCTTCTTTTCCAGATCATTTACCCCCAGGAGATGTGACAAATGTTACCTTCACATTTAGAACATTTTGCATTTAATAAAAGCAATTAGCATATATTATCTCCCTTGATTCTCATTACAGTTTTAGTAGGTAGGCAACATAATAGCTTCATATTAGGTGTTCACAGTAGGCTCTGCTTCTGATTGTGCCTTATGTGACCTTGAGCAAGTCAATTTATCTATTTGAACATCTTTCCTCACTTGGAAACAGAGGCAATAAAATCTTCACTGCACACTTCTCAAGGTTGTTCTGAAAGTTGAGTGAGGTAATGGATATGGAAGCGCTTTGTAAAGTGCAAAGAGGCATGAAAACATAAGGGACTGTTAACATTTTTAGATTGTAATTACAGGAAGAAAGACGAGAGTATTCAGGAGAAAATACAGAAGGGTAGACAACGGGTAGCAGATTGAAATTCCCATTTCTTGATTTTTGCCAAGGATTGATTTAGAAAGCAGTCAATTCCAATCACAAGACAGAGACAGCACACAACAATTTTAGGACAGCATAAATGCTGCAGAAATCTCTCTTCACCCCTCAGACATGTGTTCATGGGGTGTGCAGGATAGAGATCATGGGCTGGGGGGTAGCACAGCACACCTGGTCTCCAGGATCCATTGCAGGAAGGCACTGGCATTCTGTTCAAACTCCTGGCACATCTCAAAGTTACTGACTTGTCTTGCTTCCTCCTTTTGCAGCTCCTGTCCCCGTTCCTAAAACAGCAAACCACGAATAATGGGGCCCCATTCAAGGCCATCCTTTGCAGTAAAATAACTGGTTCCTAGGATCAGTTGAAATCATCCCTCTTCCAAATCCAACCTGTCTTCTAGAGGCAGGTGCCTTTGTACCCATATTTCTTCCAGCCCACCTCTTCTTACCTTCAGAACTTGAAGAAAGCTCACATCATTTCTCATAAATTATTGAAGGAGATTCAAAGACCAAGCCCAGTAACAACTACCTCACTCATAAAGGCAAATTTTACTTCTTCTCAGTCTTTTTTTGTGGGTAAAATGTAATTTAACTGAACATAAGAGCAACCTTAAAGAAAAAGGAAACTAAAGAGTTGCCATCTAAAGATAGTGTTAGGATTGAAATGTGTCCCCCAGAATATGTGTTGTAAATCCTAACCTCTATACCTGTGGTTATAATCCTATTTAGGAATGGGTTTTCTTTGTTATGTTAATGAGGCAGTGTTAGTGTAACATATGTTTTAAGTCAATCTCGTTTTGAGATATAAAAGAGCATGATTAAGCACGCAGAGAAGCAAGCAGAGGGCGGGGGGAAGATAGGTGCCACATCACGTAAACATCACCAAGGAACCAAAGAACAAGGACATTTCCCCAGAGTCAACAGAGAGAGAAAGACTTCCCCTAGAGCCGGCACCCTGAATTTGGACTTCTAGCCTCCTAAACTGTCAGAAAAGAAATTTCTGTTAGTTAAAGCCACTCATTTGTGGTATTTCTATTACAGAAGCACAAGATCACTAAGACAGATAGTGATATTATGGTGAGGTTTTCCTTTGTTAAAGTTTCCATACTTACATAGTTTCTATTGTGAACATCATTATAGACATAAGAATTAAAAATAAACACAAAAAAGTCACCCTTAGAGGTGTAAATAAAATAGGAAATTGTTGTTGTTAGTTACCATCGAATCTATTCCTACTCATGACAACCCCGCGTGTGCAGAATAGAACTGAACCATAAGGTTTTCAAGGCTGTGACCTTTTGGAAGCAGATAACCAGGCCTGTCTTCTGAGGCACCTCTGAGTGGGTTCGAACTGCCAACGTTTTGGCTAATAGTAGAGCACTTAATCATTTGCGCCACCCAGAGAGATTCTAAAATAGGGAATGAATGCCTTGGATGAAATATATGTGAGATATATATATATATATATATATGTATGTATATGTATACACGTATATATACACATATATGTGTAAAATTTATATATTAATTTATATATTATATCTATAAACATGTATTATATATAATATACATATACACATTTTATATGAATAGTCACCTGAAGATTATTTGATAACCAAATACTCTAGCTACCTCCTAGAGCTACTGATTACTTCCCTGAATCACTGCTCAACACATAGATGCATGAGACTGTCCAAACTATGGGCCATTTCCCAATTTTTCTTGGACAATCCTGGTTCATGCCTGCTGTACCACTGTAATTATTAATAGTGCCACATTCTTTTTCAAAAGTCCCCAAACTTGGATAATAAATTAAGTGATCACACTCACTATAGCCAAAGGAAGGCTCTGCTGTGCCCCAGGTTACCTTGATGACATCAGATAGGTGCTTCCAGACCCTTTCTAGTGTCTCCATTGTTAACCAGGTATAAGGGCTAGAGGGCACATTTAAGGCCTTAATCTGCTTGTCTAGCTCCAGCAAATGGTTGAAGTCAGCTTGAGGTTTTTCCAAAGAGTTCAAGAAGTCCTCATGGGCCTTCTGCAGCTGCCGAATGTCACTCAGGTTGTCACAATGCACTGGCTCAGACAGGTCCTCTTCGGCATTCTCACACCAGTTGTTGAAAAGTGAAGCTTTGTGTGCAAAATCCATGAATAGATTCTCGGCCTGCAGAGAGAAAAGAAGATACTGCCTTCTTTCCTGGTAAAGCCCCTTCATAGAAGAGAAGACTGAAAATAAAAGCAATGACTGTCATCAAATATTTGCAGGGCCAGTGCTCCAAGAGGGCAGAACTAAGAACAATGTGGGGTGTTGTGATCAAATGGACAGACGCGTGAGTAAGAAGAACACACCCTGGTCCTGGCATTTTTTCATTGTGGAAAATTGGTCAAGTTTTCCATCATTTACAAATGAGGAGATTAAATGACTTGTAAGATTATTTCAGCTCTAAGATTCCAAGAGTGGTGAGGGTCGTTTTCAATAATAAGATTTCAAGATTCCTTATTCTTAACAGATTTTAGTTTGTGTTCCTACCTGGAGCATATTGTTATTATTATGTAGTTAGGTGCTGTTTTCCATTCCAACTCATAGCAGCCTCATGTACAACAGAATGAAACCCTGCCTGTCCTGCACCCTCCTCAAAATCATTGCTATATTTGAGCCCATTGTTGCATATCCTGGGTCAATCCATCTCATTGAGAATTTTCCACTTTTTTGCTGACCCTCTACTTTAGAAGCATAATGTCCTTCTCCAGGGACTGGTCCCTCCTGATAACATGTCCAAAGTATGGAATTGACTTGATGGCAATGGGTTTGGAAACATGCCGGTAAGGAACCCTGGAAGCACCATAATCATTAAAAACTCATATCTGTCCAGTCAATTCAGACTCATAGTGACCCTATACAACAGAGTAGAACTGCCCTATAGGGTTTCCAAAGCTGTAAATCTTTACGGAAGCTGACTGCCACATCTTTCTCCCACGATGATGCTGGTGGGTTTGAATCACTGACCTTTCAGTTAGCAGCTGAGCTCTTAACTACTGTGCTACCAGGGCTCCTTCCATAAGGATTACAGCCTTGGAAACCCTATGGGGCAGTTCTACTCTGTCCTATAGGGTTGCTATTAGTTAGAATAGACTCAGTGATGACGAGATTGGTTTGGTTTTAAACATGGGAGTTAAAGAGGAGAAAATTTGACCTAAATGGAGGAGGGACTGCAAAGGTACTATGCTATTCTCACTCTGTACTCATTTCAGCACTCAGTATGGAAAATAGAGCAATACAGGCAAAAGTAATACGGCTGCCACCCAGGAAGTACATAAAAACCTAAAAGGTACTTCATGGTATTTTCATAATTTTAGGTATTAGCTGAATATTTTACAATTATTTTATAATAAAAATATAATTAAAAAATTCTTCAGTTTGAAAATTAAGCAAAATAGAATAAAAATGAGAACTATCTTTCTATGAAGAATTAAATATGTGTGTAAAGTTGTGCATTTAATTGATTTAATTTTTTCACTTAAGATTTATTTCCATAGGTCCTACGTCTATTGATAAAGTAGAAATTAACTTTGATTTTTATTTGTGTGTTTGTTTCCTAATTCCCCATCCTACCCTGTGCTAATTTGTTGCCAGGTATGAATTTTTTTTTTTTTAATTCTAAGAGTGCTCAGTAATTTCACTGACCACCTTGATTTCCTTTACTTATTTATGATTAATACCTAATGCTTAAGCTATCACCACTAGAAAGAACATTTTAATCACATATATCTGTATAGATCTTAGTGGTTTAAACTGCATTTTTAGATCTGTTGTACCTTTTAATAGTAATAATCCAGAAAGTCAGGCAAGGATGAGGAAATAAATTTCCATAGGCATTAAGTGACATATACAAACTCCCCCAGATAGGAAAGGTCAACACAAGATGAGCACACAAGTTTTATGAATACTTATCCAATGTACCTTTTACTTGAGTTAGAGAAAAGCACACAGACAACCATGACTCTTGCCTGCCATTTTGAGTTCTACCATATACAATGATTCTCCGCCCTCTTGTTCCACCTATCTCTTCCACTACATGCACTTGGCTTCCATCTCCAGTCAGCTGGAGAATTGGTGAATCAATCAAAACAAAAAGAAAAACAAAAATTTCCCCAAATGAACTACTTCTTGATTGCCAAGAATGTCTTCTTAATCCCTCTGACTGCATTCAGATCTCTGTAGATTATCCAACCAGGGTTGTTAGTTTCTTTTTTTGGATTCCATAGCTAATATGCAGTCAACAGAGGCCTGGTCATTTTCTTTTTTACCTCCTCTAGGGGCAACTGCTTCTTTAGCAGCTTCTCTCTATGGGCTGCAGAGGCTTCCAGCAGCTGTTCCCAGCGTTTCAGCAGGGCAGCATGGCGCTCCTCAATGGCTTTGGTCTGGCTGTGCTGAGCTGCCACCAGCTGGTCCTTCAGGTCAGTAATCTCAGACAGTCTCTCTTTCTGGAAGCTCTGCAGACTAGCAGCCAGAGTGTCCTGAGAAAGACCCACAAAAAGGCTGTGAATGAGGAAACAGTGCAGGTTTAAAGGTGTCATTCACACCTGGGTTCTACCAGTTTTTGGTCACGGACAAGTTAAGGGTTAAGCAAGAGTTAGGGTGGTGAGCAAGAAAATGGAAATATGACTTGGAGGTTTAAGTGAAGGTTTGGGGTTGGAATTACAGTTGAGATCCAGGTGGATGTATGTATTATGTTTAGATTTTAGGCTAGATGTAAATTTAATGCTAAGGGAAGATTAGATCATGATATGATATTCCAAAATTTTCCAACCAAAACTAGAGACTTCCTATAGCACATATTCTCTCTAAAACTCTCTTACATTACTTAGTACATTTTGTTTTCTAATTAGTTCTAGGGATCTCAGAAATATATAAACTAACAAAAGCTCTCCTATGGATGCCAGCCGTATAAATAAATTTCTGCAGAAATGTTGATATCAAAATTATAAAATTCAGGGAGTTCCACTTACAGATTTAACAGAGTGGCTTGTATTAGACCAATTAGCCTTTTAAGGACAACTATAAAAAATTGGATATAAGTACAAAAGTTAGATGCTTGAAAGGGAACAGAGGGGAAAGGGGATATGAAAGGAGAGAGAAGAAGATAAGAAAGGAGAGAAGCAAGAGGTGAGAGAAGAAATTAGCAATTTAACAATATCAAGAATGAAAAAGAGAACATATTACAGATCCTAAAGACAATTAAAAAAATCACAAAATTCAGAAATTAAATAATCCTGGAAGACTGAGCTCTGTGTCATCTGGGTCTTAAGGTTCACTGGCATCTCTCAACAAGGCAAGCTTGTTCTCACATGCTTTGTCAGGAGAGCAAGGAAGTCAGCGAGGCCCGCACCATTGCCATTGGTCTTCAGGCTTGTTTCCTTCTCAGCTAAAAGACAAAAATAATTAATGAGGAGAAATATAGTTGGTCTATATCAGCCGTAACGAGAAAAGGAATATTTACTATAGACAGTCTCATGACTATCAAAGTGGATGCTTCACTGGAATCTGGAAGCAGTGGAGCCCGATAGATTCTTTTCCTAGGTTGATGCAGGATAAAACTGAGAAACAGAGCTAAGGCCAAGAGAACTGACTATTTCATAGAATCAAGTGAAATTGCAGATTATCCATAAATTATAGCTGAATCAAACACACAGTTTATTTCCTAGAATGATTTTCTGTGGCCCTACCTTTATGCATATCACACATGAAATCACCAATTCCCAAAAAATGCATCCTCTGCAATCATGATCCTTAGTCACCGCATCAATATGTTTCTTTGTGTGTGTGTGCGTGTGTGTGTGTGTATACGTATGTGTGTGCTTGTAATATGATTGTAATTGCATCTAGAAAGGATTGGGGAGGGTGATGCAGGAAGCACCCCTTTTTCCTAGATAAAAGAGAAAGTCTGCAGAAACCATTCTATAAATGGGATTTATCAGCATTTCTCAAACCCAAGGGGCCCATACATCATACCTATCCAGGACTCTACCACATCAGCCTTCCAGTTAAACTGCTGAAAGTCATAATCATTCTCCAGTTGCAACTTCCAAACAGCTATTGCCTTGGCCAGAATAGGGGTTTTTTCATTCAGAGCCTGTATCTTGGCAGAAATCTTCTCCTTGTGCTGACTTTCCTCCTGAAGCACCAAAGTTGAGGGGAGAAGAAGAGAGGCAGACATACTGATGAGTATCCAGGACTAGAAATTTGAATTTCTTTAGTGTCATTATAAAGCTCTCATCCTTCTCATTCCAAGTATACAATTACTCTCCTCTCATCTAGTATAATTATTCTAGTATCCGTCTATATCTCAGGTGGTTATTTCTATTCCAGCAACTGAAAAGTCTTCCCACATCTGTCATGTAATTGTGACCTTCTTCATTGATGTAGGCTTTTAGAACATATGGAGTCATCTCTGTATAGCACTTAGATCAATGAGGCTTTGTAAAACCAAACATTTAAACAGAAGAATGAATCTCAAATTACAAAGAGATTTCAGTGTGGTCCTCTTTCTTAAAGGTTTACAAAGAAATTTCTTCAGATTCCTACAGTACTCTATAGCCAAAGCCAGTGATAGATTTTTATAAACACCATATTCCTCATAGCAGTGTAAGAGTAACAAAAGGATTTAAGGAAAGTTGAAACGTGCACCCATAAGAACTAGAAAGAAATAATTTCTAGGAAAAAAGCAACTGAACAGAAAATTATTTGTGAGGGGGGAGAAAAAAAGGCAGCATAAGAGAGATTAATAAAGTTGGGCCAATCCCTTTTTGAAAACAAAGAGTTTGACCTGGTATCTCTGGATTGGCTCACCTTACTCAAAATGTCTTCTCCTTGAGCACACACATTTTGCACTCGGAGCTCATGGACACCAAAGTCGATATCCAAGGCATCATGCTTCTTTAGCAAGCTCTGTATAAATAAGTCAGTGAGAATCAAAATATCCAAGGCTGGAAAATCTATCCCACCCATGTTCTTGTTGGCTTTGCTGTCATTCACCAGGACTGATTCATCTAAACTGGAAAACTAAGTGAGTGTCCACTTCCTACTGTATGTTGCTGTTGTTGTGTGCCGTCAAGTCGATTCCAAGTCATAGCAACCTTATTGGACAGAGTAGAACTGCTCCATAGGGTTTCCTAGGCTGTAATCTTTATGCACGCAGATTACCACATCTTTCTCCTGCGGAGCTGCTGGTGGGTTCCAACAGCTGACCTTTAGGCTAGTAGATGAGTACTTAACCACTGCATCACCAGGGGTCCTCATTCCTGCATAGTTCTACTAAATGTGTCTCCTAAAACTCTTCACTTGTCAAAGAGAACAATCTTACCAAAGAGAGTCAAAAGAATACAAGTGACACTGTTGCTAACTAAACCATGTGACCTTATGCCTTTCTGGATTTTGGAACTAGAGTATTGATTGAGACGATATATAAGGATACTTCCATATTGAAATTTATGAACTTCTATGAACATTTTATCTATTATAAAAATATTCAGTATTAAGAATACCCTACAGTAAGAATTGACCCTAAAGAAGGATAAGAGGAACACTGAACTGTATTTCAATATCACTCCAAATCTTCTGTTTCTGGTGGCTCTATGGAGCTATGATTCTTGTTTGGTTGAAAAATAGAGAGAGGAGTGAGGATGAGGTATGAGGAGCAGTACTCTTCCATATTCCCTGGTATTCTCCTAAGATATATTTGTAACAATCCTCAGCACCACCACCACCACCACTACCACTGCTGCCTTTTATGACTGCCTCTTGATATAGAGATATTCCATTAACTTTTTTCCTGCACCACGTAAGAATCAGAGCCCTGGTGGTGCAGTGATGAAGAGCTATGGCTGCTAATCAAAAGGTCGGCAGTTCAAAGTCACCAGCTGCTCCTTGGAAACCCTATGGGGCAGTTCTACTCTGTCCTATAGTGTCGCTATGAGTTGAAATCAACTTGATGGCAATGGGTTACATAAGAATCCAGCCTAAAGAAAAAAACAGAATTCATATGACTAATGTATCTCCTATAAACCACTTTTGATAATAAACACATTTTTGATTTATCACATTCTTAGGCATGAAAATAAAGTGGTTACTCCTTTTAATACAAGATGGCTTACATTCTATTTTATGACTGCATTATATTTCATCTTTATGCAGAAACTGTAAATGGAGAGTGGACAGATGATCTCATTTGGAAGATTGAGATACTTAGTTTAATCATATTTTTATGTATGTATAATGCATGAAATGTAGTCTCTTTAACATCTTCACCTTCTGTTTCCAGTTTTTTTCTGGAACTTCTCCTTGGACACCTTAGACAGTTCAGGCACTGCACATATAATATAGGTTTCCATTAAAGAAAACATAGTCTTCTCTGTTTAAATATATTCCTAAATAGCCCCCATAGTGCCATATTAAGGGTAAAGAAGTTTTAAAGAGAGCTAAAAGCTATAGAATTTGTCAATTATGTCTATTATGGTTCTAATAGTTATAAGTGATTTATTAGAAACATTGTTTATCTTCACATAGGAAAAGAAGATGATAGGGTAAATTGAAAGAAAATCCTCATTTGCATATGTGGTGAACATCCCTCCTTTCTATTATCAGTCAAGTTATGTGGACTAGGAACCTAAAAAAGCAGAATGTCATTTAATTTTTCATGAAAGATGACATAGAAGAATTAGGTGAATAGATATTTTAGGTAACCAATAAGGATTAAAAAAAAAAAACCCAGCCCTAGTGGCACAGTGGTTAAGAGCTCAGACTGCTAACCAAAATGTCGGCAGTTCAAATCCACCAGCCACTCCTTGGAAACCCTGTGGGGCAGTTCTGCTCTGTCCTATAGGGTCATTATGAGTTGGAACTGACTCAATGGTAATGAGTAGTGTTTTAATAAAGGTTATTATTAATAAAGCTTCATTTTTTTTTTTTTTTTTTAGTATTTACATACTGGCTGTTAAAACTTTTCATTAAAAGTAAGCCTTTGAATGTAAATGGTCTAAATGTACTAATTAAATGATGGAGGTTGGCAGAGTGGGTTTAAAAATTTGACCCAACTACATGCTGTCTACAAAAAACTCAATTCAAATATAACAACGTGGACAGGTGCAAAAGCAATTCAATGGAGGAAAGACAGCCTTTTCAATAAATGGTACTGAAGCAAATGGACAGTCCTAGGCTAAAATATGAATTCAGTCTAGTGAGTATTGAACACATCTTACACAAAAATTAATTCAAAATGGATCATGGACTGAAATATAAAATGTACAGGTAAACATTTTTGAAAGAAGACATAGGAGAACATCTTTATAATGTAGCATTAGGCAAAGAGTTTTGAGACTTGATACAAAATTACAACCCATATAAAGAACAGCTAAATCTTAGCAGTTAAAAAACAAACAAAAAACACCCCCAAGCAATCCAATTATAAAATTGGCAAAAGACATGAAGAGCTATTTCACTGAAGAGGATATACAGATAGTAAATAAGCAATAAGCACATGAAAATATGTTAAACATCATTAGTAGCCATTAGGGAAATGCAAATTAAAACCATAATGGAATATCACTGAACACTTAAGAATGGGTAAAATAAAAATGACAATACCAAATACTGACAAAGGTGTGGAGAAACTGGATCACTCATATATTGTTGGTGACAGTATAAAACTGTACAGCCAACTTGGAAAAGAGTTAGGTAGTATTTTGTAAAACAAAACATGCGATTACAATACATCCCAACAACTGGACTCCTCAGCATTCATCACAGAGAAATGTTAACTTATATTCACATGGAAATCTGTCCATGGATATTTATAACAGCTTTATTCATAGGCAAAAACTGGATACAACCGAGATGTCCTTCAATGGTTGAATGTTTAAATAAACTGTGGTGCATCCATACCATGAAATATCACTGAGCAACAAAAAGAAAGGAAGAAGCGTCATCACATGCAACAACTTGAATGAATATCCACAGAGTTATGCTGAATGAAAAAGCCAGTCCCCAAAAGTTATATACTGTATGATTTCAACTTATATAACATTCTTAAAATAGCAAAATTCTAGAAATGGAGAACAGAATAATGGTTGCCAGGAGTTAAGAACGGGATGGGGACAGGAGGGAGGTCAGTGTGGCTATAAAAGAGCAACATGGGGGATGATTGTGAAGATGGAAATGTCATATAGCTTGATTGTATCAATGTCAATATCCTGGTTGTGACATTGGACTATAGTAATTGATGGTACCATTGGGGGAAATGGAGTAAAGGGTACACTGGATCTCTCTGTATTATTTCTTACAGCTACATGTGAATCTACAATTCTCAAAACAAAAGATATAATTTCTTTTAAAATAAAAGCCTTTTGAATGGTCAATATAAAACTTTAAAATACATGACCATGAAGAGGAGCAAGACATTGTCTTGGTCAGACACACCATACCATCCCTCTACAGCAAAGACTCGAGAAACCAAGTGAAACAGGTGTAGATGACAATCCTGGAACCCTGAACATCAAATGGAAGGATAAAGAATAGAAGCAAACACTGACTGGAGGAAGAAATTGAAAGAATTCAGTGCATGAGGAATGATACAGAGCAGAGGTGCTCTACCAGCTTTCCTGGTTCAGTGTGGCCATGTTGAGACAAAGCCAGTGGTAACCCTTGGAGAGAAGTGCAGGAAGGCAACCTCACAGCATTTCCAATAAGAGACAATTTTATAACTGGATTACTTGGGGGTGTTTTTTGTTTGTTTTTTAACTGCTAAGATTTAGCTGTTCTTTATATGGGTTGTAATTTTGTATCAAGTCTCAAAACTCTTTGCCTAATGCTAGACACACCTGGAGGGAAGTAAGGTGAATAGAACATGATCTGGATCTAAGGAAGGAAAGCACAGAAAGGAGGATGAAAGTTCCAGGGATCCTGGTGTTCACAGAGTAGGGAGGGATCCAGGATGCAGAGTTAGTTATACTCATGAATGGCAGTCTCTGACTGGTAAGATGGGTAGTGCGCACAAAGCAATAGATCCATACAACGTCAACAGGAGGTCCCCAACCCAACTGGCCTCCAGGAAGTCCTCCTTCCTCGCACTTGGTCAGGGGTAGGTCCTCAAGTCTACTTATCTGCCACCCACCTTCTGAACCAGCAAGCAGTGGCGTTCATGCTCCCACACACTTGCCTGCCTACCTCCCACCGTGCTGACCAGGCAAAAGGCTTCAACTATGCTCTTGTATGCCTGCCTGCCAACCACCCACTTACCTGACTCAGTGAGTGGCAGTGACTGCACTCTACTGCACCCTAGTCCACCCATCACCCACATCCCTGAGCCAGCAGGAAGTAGAGACCATGTTCCTGCACACTAACCTGCCAACCACCCAACCTCTGACCTGGTGAGAGGCTGCAACTGTGCTCCTATGTGCCTGCCTGCCAGCCACCCACCCACCCACTCAACCTGGCAAATGGTGGTGACTGTGCTCCCATAAACCTGCAAACCACCTCCCCAGCCTGGCTAGGTGGAGAGTGTACTCCTGAGCACCGTTAGACCACCATCCACCCTTGCTTGCCAACCCGGCAAGTGGTAGAGAGCTCCTGCCACATACTTCTGCCCACAGAACCAGAGAGCAATGGAGAGCACGCTTCCATGCGTCCACATGCACACCCCCACCCTGGCTTAGCAAATGGAGGAGAAACTGCTCCCATAACCCTGCTCACCTGCTACACCCACCACACCTACCACCCTGCCCACTTGGTGAGCAACATCTCCTGCTCCTGTGCCACTGGACTAATGACAGATGGTGGACAATGAACACCCAGCCTGCCCTCAGCTGCCCTGGACAACCAGTGAACAGAGACTTGTGCTCACACTGCCAGCTGCTGCCCTACCCACCCTGAGACAGGTGGTGAGTGCCCTGGTG